ATTTATCACATTTTAGTTGGTTTGAAGTCAAAGAAGAAGAAAAAAAGGAACTCTAGAAAGTACTACGAACTGCAAATTTGTAATAACATGACGACACTAAGATTACTGTCATTGAGTTGTGAAAGTTATGATGTCTGGTCCAAAATTTAGGATTAGAAAAAGTAGTGTCTTTCATATATATTTATATTAACAACTCCATAATACTTAAATATATCTAATATTATTATTATAGACTTCATTTGCTGCAATTGCCACAAGTATACTAAAATTAATTAAAGTAACTTTTCCTTCTTTCTCTGGTGAGGTTGCATAGTCTGTTGATGCTATCATCCAAATGCATAATCTCCTGCAAACCTGAAAAAGTAATTTAGGAAGTCATCAGTGGGGAACATCCCATATTAGTCAATCCTATGCTTTAAAAGTTGATGAATAGTTCTGTAGGACTTGATGCATCTTTTTTATCTCCTAAAGTAATCAAGAAGGCCACACGTACTCTCTTTTATTCGCAAAGTTAAAAGTGCAACTACCTTTAGGGGATTATTGCTATATTAGCCCCCCCTCTCTCTGATTCTGCCTACCTTTACAGGGATTGCAGGTTTGCAACAAGTTGCAACTATATACGTATTGGCTTTGATGAATTTACATATCCTTTTTCCTTTTCTAATGGTCACCTATCCCAGACCATACCATGTTTGAACATTAGCTATTCATTCAGAACGAATGATTAGTCATGCATTTGTGAAACCTGGTCTTGCATCTCATCTTTCTTGTTCCCGAAGTCATTACAAGCCTAACTTCATCGTTTGAACTGTGAAAGGGGTTATTTTCATGATCTTGACAAGCTAAGATAATCTACATGAATAGGATAAGGTGGTGTGGTATTCTTCAGGTAACAGTCTGATCCCACCCCTTCCTGTCTCTCTTCTGAATGCTGATATCTTGTATTGGTGATCATTCTGCTTCTTATCTTTGTAGAGTTTTGTTCCCGCTTACTTGGTAGTGGTCAAAATAGAAATTTCTACTATATAGAAGAGGGAAGCAAGGGACGACCAAGGCCAAAATGGTAATTTTACACGAACAAAGGCAATATCTCCACAACTCTAGAACACATGAACTCTAGAATCATCCGATGCTAGATATATAACCCACACCGCTCTAGAATCATTTGATGCAATAAATTAACCCACGGTAAGTTCTTCCATCTCTCTTGTTGTTCCAACAACAATGAAACATATGGATTTCAAGTCTGCACAGTTATTGAGATGTTTTATTTGCTAGAGTTGCATTTGCTTCAAAAACCTATCTGGAATGCTTCAAATGTTCTAAATTTAAAGATGAGCAAGTGCTCTAGGAACAACTTAAGAGAGCATGATTGGCATCCAGTTGGATCAAGCGACTTTGGATAACCTTCTCCTCCCGTCACCGGTTGGATCAAGTTATTTATATGATGTGACTTCAGTTCTTAGGTTATTGAAATCATTCATCAGCAAAGAGGCGTGTTTTGTTCCCTTAACTCGAATAAGGAAAATTACAAGCTTAATAGATTTGAGGCATGTTGTGTTCAGTTAACTCGAATGAGGAAAATTACAAGCTTGATAGATTTGAACATAACTGAAGTAACTCCTCATCCATGTCTAAAACCTTCCAAGTGCCTTGCCCTGATCAGATCGCTCCCGAGTCTGCTAGGGACTCGTATGATGCAATATACTATGCCAAGGTTATGTATCTTGACGTATGCCTTTTCGATTCTCCCTAAGAGGCCTTCAATTTATTACTTGTTTCTTTGCATTTTGATGCTTAATACATACACAGAAGTTCACTACAAGTTCATGTTCAAGAATATGGTAAAATATTTAGGCATTCTTCCAAAATTTAGCTGATTGGTTAAACATTGATCATTGATGACATATTGCAGGTTGGTCGAAGGTTATCTGAAGTCAAAAAGATGAAAGTATGTAGTGGGCTGAGCTACGAGAAGCTGTCATTTGAGGCTTGTAGCCACCTTGCTCGTAATAAAAATTTCCCTTCAAAATCTCCTGGACAAGCTCTCATCACTTAGCAAGTGAAGCTCTAAAGCTTGCTTCAAGAAACCAATCAGGAAACAAAGATCAGCAGATCGTGTTATACGCAGGAAAGCTGGATCTTTCAATTGAGAATGAGAAGCTCAAAGAACATTTACAAGGTATGCAATGGAGAGTGCTAGAATTGGAAAAAGTTTGTAGGAAAATACAAAATCAAATGGCAAAGATCTTGAAATCAAGAGTATCAAGCCATAACTATGCCAGATCATTACCTCGACTATGTTCTTGAATGATATTATGAAATCCAATCATTATAACTTACTTTATTAATACTATTTTTTGAATTTTTCTCTCAATGTAAATATCAAATAAAAAATTAGTGCTTTGTTTAAATAGCAAAAAGTACTACTACTACTACTTCTACCCCAGCACTTGACTTTTTTGAGGTGCTAATAGAAGAATGATTGGAGGTAATCAGTTGTGTTTTGCAGAATATAAAGTTTTGGTTGTATATAACAAGAAAGGAACAGTTAGGGGTCGTTTGGTTTGAAAATGAGTTATGATGGGATAAGTTATGTTGGGATAAGTTATGTTGGGATTAGTTATGATGGGATAAGTTGTGTTGGGATTATTTTTTATTGAGTGTTTGGTTTGTTGTATTCAAAATAATAAATTTTAAGAACAATTTATTTGTTTACAAAAATACCCTTCATTAATGTAAAAAGTGATATAACAAAAGGGTTGAAAGAGACATTTTTGTCATTTACCTATTTTATCCCGGGATAAGTTATCCCGGGATTACTATACCACCCAAGGAGAGGGATAACTTATCCCGGTACTAATTATTAATCCCGGGATAAGTTATCCCGAACTTGCCAACCAAACAACAAAATAAGCGGTACTATAATTTAATCCCGGGACTATTTGTTATTATACCTCACACCAAACGAGCCCTTAATAGTTTTGGAAAAGGAATTAAGTACAATTGAAAAGCTTAATTATTATTTGTGGGAAAAAAAGTGATTATTCCATGAGATTGTCCAAAGAAAAATGATAAGGTAAATCACTTTTCATATCATTTCCATATTGTAAGTTGCTATAGAGGATTTTTTTTTTACCTTATAGAAAATCTAATTCTCTAAGATAAATATGTCTCTTTAGTGCTGGCTTTCATTCATTAACATAAAAGTAACAAGATTACGGACCAAAATTTTCATTTTTGTATCATTTGACATTGACAAATGGTGTTGAATCATGGCAATAGTGTAACATTTTTAGTCACATTTTGTTAGATCTTTCATTGTAAGAATAGTGTTATCGAGCATATTGCATTTTTCCTCTGTCCAATAACTCCAATTCTTAATTACTACGGGAGTTTGATGGTGCGGGAATTGATATACTTTGCTAATAAATTAAGTAGATTTAATTATTTGTAATTTCAGAGCATAAAATTCAAAATTCAGTCTCTACATTCAGTAGTATTTTCTGCAAATATAGTATTGACCTGCTTTATATTAGAGTGACTTTTCAAAGCATAAAAATATAACCACTTCAAAGTTAAATGTTGGGCCCGTGATATCACGGGCCATACTCATCTTTTATATATATATATATATATATTTCCACGGTTAAACAAATGACTAATTCGTATATATGTAAGTGATTCATATATATTCACACTCATTCTTCATCGATCTTGTCTATTATTAGTAGTGTTGTTGCTTTCTCTTTCTAGGAATTTAGTGAGAAGGGAGAGCAATACTATATTACTCTCTCTTAGAGATTACAATAATTCATTTGACTATAAAAATGAAGATACATCTACAAAACTGTGGCGATGCGATAAACACTGGTTTTAAACGAAAGAGGAAATACATAATTACCCCATGGAACTTGTATCCTTTTTTTAAGTAGACACCTTAAGTTTGCGGGGGTCCTATTACACCACGAAACCATCCAAAAGCACAATAAATACATCATTTTGACCCGTTTCAAACACATCAGTGTTGTCACGCAGGTTGGGCGCGTCAAGAAATAAAAAAACAACATCCAACCAATGTTAAAACGCCATGTGGCATTCCCAATTTGAATTAGCTTCTTCATTAAATAGATCACCTTCCCAAAATTCTCCATTGTTAGCCATTGGAGATCTGCAATTTCTCATTTTAATTATTTTTTTTTGTTTAAAATCTGTGAAATCAATTTCCTAAGGTTTTGAGGGAGAGATGTCAAATGCAAGACAAACGAAATACGCATCAAACAATGTAAAATAAACTAACGACTAATCACTACAAAATTCACTTACAATGTAAAATAAACTTTTTCTCAAAGATTTTTCAAATAACTAACCTATGAGCCTTCACTTCTTTGTTCCGACACCACTATTCAACAAATTTCAACCAACAATGTTACCAACTAACTTTGCCTCATGAAGTTTCTTAGGGTTTTGATCGGTCAAAGAGAGAGAGACGAGGGTAGGTGAAAGTGAAATGGGTTGGAAATTTCTTAGGGTTTGGGTTATGGGTTAAAAAATGAATGGGTTAGGATAAAACCCGGCCTTTGTTAAATGGGTTGGAGGTGTGGCACACGCTCTTGGATTGAGAGCACTGATGGTGAAAAAATGATGTATTTATTGTGCTTTTGGATGGTTTCGTGGGGTAATAGAACCCCCGTAAAATTAAGATGTCTACTTAAAAAAAATGAATAAGTTCAATGGGGTAATTGTGTATTTCCTCTAAACGAAATATTAAATCAATCATCACTTGAAACAATCCTACTATATTGACATTAACTGAGATTCATCCTTATGACCATGAAACTTTATAGGATGATCAATAGACTATTTCAGGTTCCTTCTCAAGGCTTCTTTGGCGGTATGATACTCGAAAATTAAAAAAAATAATAGGTATAAGTCTTAACCAACAAAAAAGATTTGTGGAAGCTCACGAGAAATTGGAGTTATAATCCAACAAAATATTCATGAAACTGTCAAGACCATTTTCGTCCACCTCCTCCCCTCTCCAAAAAGCAGCGCCATACTTGAAGAGTTCAAACTCCATTGCGTCCGCCAAAGAGCTTCATGCTCATCTCATCAGAACTCAAAAACACTCTGACCCTTTTGTTATTTCAGACGTTATTAGATTCTACTCTCTCTTTCCGACGTCTCTACACAAGGCCCTTGTTGCTTTTAATCAAACTGAACGACCAACATTGCCAATTTGGAATTACATGATTCGTGGGTTGTCTAAGAGTCATCGACCCATTGAAGCACTCCACATGTATGACAGAATGCGTCAACAAGGATTCCCTGGAAATAACCTCACTTTCATTTTCATCTTTAAGGCTTGTTTACAGCTTTCAGATATTGTACTTGGACGTGCAGTTCATGTTAATGTTCTGAAACTTGGGTATCAGTCCTACTTGTATGTCTGTAATGCTTTGATTTATATGTATGGTTCTTGTGGTGATTTAGTTGGTGCTGGAAAGGTGTTTGATCAAATGTCTGAGAGAGACTTAGTATCATGGAACTCATTGATTTGTGGGTATAGTCAATGTAATAGATATCATAAAGTATTGGGTCTTTTTGCTTCTATGCAGGCAGAAAATGTGAAGGCGGACGCAGTGACTTTGGTGAAAGTACTACTAGCTTGTAGCTATTTAGGGGATTTTGACACTGCGGATTTTGTGGCGAAGTATATAGGGGATAGTTGTGTGAGAATTGATGTATACTTGGGAAATACATTGATTGATATGTATGGTAGACGTGGATTAGTTATCTTAGCTGAAGAAGTTTTTGCTGAGATGGAGGAGAAAAATGTGGTTTCATGGAATGCCATGATAATGGGGTATGCTAAAGCAGGGGATTTAACGGCTGCAAGGGAACTTTTTGATAAGATGCCCAACAGAGATGTGATTTCTTGGACTTCTATGATCACAGGATATTGCCAAGCTAATCGATCTTCAGACGCTATTGCACTTTTCCAAGAGATGATGGCAATTAGGGTTAAGCCTGATGAAGTCACAGTTGCTAGTGTGCTTTCTGCTTGTGCACGTTTAGGTACATTTGATGTGGGTAAGGCAGTACATGATTATGTTTGTCAGCATGACATTAAAATGGATATTTACGTGGGGAATGCACTGGTGGATATGTACTGCAAATGTGGATCTGTTAATACAGCCTTGGAAGTGTTTTTGAGCATGAGGAAAAAGGATATTGTTTCTTGGACTTCGATAATCTCTGGCCTTGCAGTGAATGGATTTCATGATAATGCTATTCAGCTCTTCTCGCAGATGTTAAGAGAAGGTTGTAAGCCAACTCATGGTACTTTTATTGGCGTACTACTTGCTTGTGCTCATGCAGGTTTGGTGGACAAAGGTTTGGAATACTTCGAGAGTATGGAAAAACATCACGGATTGGTGCCAGAAATGAAGCATTATGGATGTATTGTTGATTTGTTTTGCCGATCTGGTAATTTAAATAGAGCATTTGAGTTTATAAATCTTATGCCTATGGCGGCAGATGTGGTTTTGTGGAGAATGTTGCTTAGTGCTTGTAAACTCCACGGTAATCTGGTTCTGGCTGAAATTGCTGCAAACAAACTTCTTCAATTAGATCCTGATAATGGTGGTAATTATGTTCTGTCATCAAGCACTTACGCCACTGCAGAGAGGTGGGACGATGCGATGAAAATAAGGCAATTGATGGATGAGGGTGCAGTACAGAGGCCACTAGGCTGGAGTTCAATTGAAGTAGATGCGATTGTCTAGCATTCAATGAACCACGTCTTGGAAATGTAAAGTACCTGAAACAAAGGTTTCTTTCACATGGTACTATTTGCATAGATTATCACGAGATCCAGCATACCGGTTACGTGAAACTGAAGTGAATATCATGTGAGCAAGACTTACTAATCTCTAGCTGCCCTTTTGGATAAAGAAAAACTTAATATGAGTTGCCAACTTACGCATGAGTTAGGTTTGCTCATCTTCAGCACTATAAAGATGAAGGTTCCAAACTTCCAATACAGATACAGATTGCTGTTTGACACCTAAAGAACTTATTAAGTTTGATCGTGAAGTACAAAATTGTATTTATGATCTCAGCTACCTTGGGGCATAGATGGTTGTTGTAACTAGTACGTGTCATATTTGGTGTATACTGCAAATATGATACCAGTCTTGTGCTCTTTGTATTTTTAAATCTCAAGTTACTATTGCCTCTGTGCCGCATCTAACATTTTAAAATTGGAATGATGGTCGGAGGCTTAGAGCATACTGCTTAGAAGACTCTGAATGTAGCTATAGCAGCAGAATCGCAAGGTATGAAGCTGCAAAGATCTTGTTGATTCCTTCATTACTATTTCAGTTATACTGTAGTCTGTATATTTCTGCATCACATACTGTATGAATGATCAATAGCTTTGCATTATTCATGTAATCATGTGCATATTATCCTTTCTGCAGCATTCAAGTTTTATTTTGGAGGGGGTAGGAATATTCATTCTCACAAACATCTGATACCAATTTTGAGTTTAGGCACACTGCCAGAAATTTCTATTCAGCTACAGGTTGAACATGACCTTGATAGCATTTCCGCCGCAAGAACTGGTCTCAAAGGCTTCATCCACACCCTCTTGAGTAAAGTTATACCTGTGGGTTATGAGAGGCTTCACATCTATTTCCCCAGTTCTCAGAAGTTCAATGCAGAGCGGCCATGTATTTCGGTATCTGAAAATGCCTATGACATCCACCTCCCTATGACAAAAAGAAACTCTGATTGAAAGTTTCTCCTTCGAGTGGTTCTTTCAGGAAAGAAATTTAACAAGTACCTTGCAGCAGCTGAAGTAAGAGGGAGAGTCATCTCACTCTGGCCTAATCCAACGAGGCATACTTTACCACCGGCGCGGGTGGCTTGTAGAGCCGTTGTCATAGTCTTGTTGAAACCAACACAATCAAAGCTCAAATCCACAGGACCACCCATTGCATTACGTATTCGCACCACTTCCTCCTCCACATCCTACAACATGAATATTGCTTGAGATATACCATGTTTTGCCATAAAAAAAAAAAGATTACCAGGGTATGATACGAATAACTGCTGATGAGGAGTAAAAAAGAAGGGAGAACCTGCATAATGGAAGAAACTTTAATGATCTCATCAGCACCCAGGTCTTTCGCGAAAGATAAACGAATATCATCCACATCAACGATGACTATCTTGGGTGATCCAAAAGCACGAGCTGCCAGCATAGTGACCAGGCCAATAGGTCCTGCACCTATGTTGATTAGTTTGGTGTCAGGACCTACATTGGCACGGCGGCAAGCATGGACACCAACACTCAAAGGTTCACACATTGCACCTTCCTCCAAGCTTACATTATCAGGTAACTTAAAACATAGATCTGCAGGATGCACCACCTGATGCAGAGACAAATTCCACACTTGTTATTTAAAATGTTGAATCTGACTTTGCTCTATGCAAGTTCAATAGCTCTTCTTGGTTCAAACACCCAGATTGCTCTGAGCAAATTCTCATCTTTTTCTAGTTTGAGAAAAGATGGAGTAGAGATGTTACCTGGTTGGCTAAAGCACCATTTGTTGGAGGAGAGCCAAAGAACTTCATATTACGGCAGAGATTGTAGCGACCGTCTTTGCATAGTTGACACTGCCTGCAACTAATACCAGGTTCCAAAGCTACACGATCACCGATCATCAGAAACTTCACTTGGCTACCAACTTGTTCTACAATTCCAGCACACTCATGGCCAAGTACCATTGGCTTTTTAACCACGAAATTAGCTACTCTCATATTCTGGAGAGTCATGTTGAAACTAATGTTACAACGCAGTAATCTAAAACAAGTACCTTAACAATTACTATCATTAATCTTAAGGGCGTGTGTGGTCTAGTAATCAATCAAGTCATGGGAAACTAGGTTCAAGCGGCTAGGTGCTGTTATAATTTTTCTTTTGACTATTATTCAGTCGAAACTTACCTTAAAGTGATGGATATCACTTCCACATATACCAACAGCTTTAATGCGAATCTTGACATCATAAGGACCTAATTAACATGACAAAACAAATAAATTGATGCGCAAGTAGAATCAAGACAGATTTCTCAGGTGAAAAAGTCATAAAGGAGCTCAGCATAGTTCCATTAATTGCATGATTTTTTGTAGTTGAGAGAAGAAGAAAGAAAGGAAGACAGATGTACAAGCAAAAACAGAAATACGAACCAAGAGATGGGAGATTAAAGGGCTGAATCCGAAGTGTTTTGATAGCAAGAAGCCAAACTGCCAAGTTCTCTTCTTCTGTTACACTGTATTGATCTACTTCACCGTCTGATAGATGTGTCTTGGTCGCCATTCTTACCCACTGCCACAATGTCACAAAGACTGAGTTATTAATTTTAAAACTTTTCAATTTACCTTCAGTTAAATGACACTGCAAGAAGGATAAATATCTTGCCATGTGAGATTAGTAGTTGTCTTCTTTTGTTAAAGAAAGAAGTAGTGAAATGGACGTCAAAGCAGAAACTTTGAGACTTGAGGTGTGTTTGGTATTCCAATTTTCTTATGTTTGCTAGATTAAATCTTTTGAAAAATATTTTCCAAATCAACTTATTTTTCTCAAATTTAAAGAAAATTATTTCCCTTAAAAAATTAAGGAAAACATTTTTCAAAACTCTGTTACATCCTTAAATTACAATAGTATCTTTTTTCTTACCATACCCCCGTACCCTATGCCCGACCCTCACCATCCGGAAAAAAATAAAATTTAATTTCAAATATTTTTTTACACCCTACCTCCAAACCAGCCCCCGCCCCCAAAAAAAAACCAAAAAAATCAAAACTTATTTTGAATAATATTTCAAATTTTCAGATTTTTTTACTTCACCCAACCCCTACCACCCCTCCCCCCCCCCCCCCCCCGGTCAATTTTTTCAAAAAAAATTATTTTCAACAACTATTTTAGGGTCGGAAGTTTGGGTTGTTAACTCGTGATATTCTGAATAATGACAAGTTGAATTCATATCGCAGGGAATCAAGGAACAAGATCTGGAGAATGATATGGATCAACAGCTTCACCCAAGGAGGCAGATGAATTCTGGATACTAATACAAATCAGCAACATCAACCAAGGAGATAGATTGACTCAATCAAATCAATCTAAAAGATTGACTCAATCATAAATCAATCCAACTTAAAGACCACATCAATTCGCATGAAGCCAAAAAGGAAAATGCAAAAGTCAGACAATCAAGATGGCAAGTAGATCAAGGAAGATCACACTGTGATTCTGAGCAATAAGCCAAGATTCACACCAAACTTTGTTTCAAGGCAGAGGTTTGAGTGTTGTAACCTAATCTAGGAAAAGACACACTCAATCAAGGAAACGTTACAAATCCTTGATTGAAGGAAACTCCGTTGGGTTTTCCTATTAGAGATAAAATCATCGCACTACTTAGCATATAAATAAAGACCCGGATCAATAGCTGAAAGTGCGCAACTTCACTTGAACTTATATTGTAATATTCTTTCATCTTTCATAAAGCTTTGTACACTTTGAATGAACAATTGAAAACGAAAAAGAGAAGGAAAGATACTAAGTGTAGGTTATACAAGTAGAGGTCGTGTCAAGATGGAAACTCTGATTAAACTCACTGTACAACCACTGTTCTCTTCAAGCACTAAAGAAAACCCTTGAAGCTCAAGGGGACTGAAAGTAGGCACCACATTGGTGTTTCGAACCAATATAAAATATTTTGTCTCAATTTACTTTCTACATTTACTCTTATTTTATACTGTCACTATCCAGACAGCCGTGATTGGCACCCACACTAACAATCCGGTGGAAGAACCACTACTACAACCCAAACCAAGCAATCAATCTAAAAACTAAGGCATATAAGTCAAATACTAAGGATAAAAAATAGAGTTTCCATAAACTCTAACAAAAGTTCAACAATAACTAACAAATGCAGAAGAATTAACCTAGAACTGAAAGTAAATATACCAAAACTCTACTAACGACAACTCTAAGAACAAGGGGTACAACCCCGAAACTAAACAACACCTTAAACAAAAGTATGAGTCCGAAAAGAGTGGACTTAAACAAGGAAGATCCATGGCAGCCTGAAAGAAGTGACTCACCCTTGAATCCAGTCACACTCATAGTTACCTAGCTGAGGTCTATCAATAGCCACCTGAAGATGCCTTGTACTTAACAAAGAAAGAGCAAGTGCAGTATCAGTACACAACCACCGTGTACTGGTAGGATCACGCGGCTATCCTACTAAGTATAACATACATTAGTCAATACAACAATATAATCACATGCACATATCGAACATATACAATATCATCAACATATACGAACAATGAACAACTTCACGATTCTCACATATCACAGTTATAACAATTTAGAGCAACATATCGTCTTCCAATATCAATCATCATTAGATAAGAACGAACTCATCACAAGTAGGTACACAACACAATTCAATGGTCCTCTCATGGAACTCAAACCCAAACAGTTAGCATGCCGAAACGTGGCAATCCGATCCCATATTTATACCGGAACGTGGCAACCGATTCCATATTTATGCCGGAACATGACAACCGATCCCATAATTATGCCGGAATATGGCAATCCGATCCAAGTTCGTTATGCCGAAACGTGGCAACCGATCCCATATATATGCCAGAACATGGCAACCGATCCAGTTAGTGTGTCGGATTGTGACACCCGCCCATTCAACAAACCACAATCATAATCACAATGTATATTCCCACAATCATACAATAAGAGCTGATTCATGGCATACAATTATTCAATTATCCTCAATTACAACAAGTGTGATCAATAATGCAACATTCACATACATACATGTATCATAATAAAGCAAGAACAAGCATACATCACACAATCATTGAATCACAATCATCACCTGTCTCGAATCCAAGCTTGAATCCCCTAAGGCACTTGAATCTTCCCTTTTCGAATTCTTTCCGTTTGTTCTAGGTCTACAAATAATAATTTATATGCAAGGATTAACAATCAAAGGTCTAATTATCCGGATTATAACAAACCCAATAACCCTAGACCAAACCCAAGATCCTAATACCCAATTTAGGGATTTTTGCACAATAAATTCTAGATCTAAACCCTCCCTCATCGATAATGACCCACTAGATTACGTTCTACGGATCGAAAAATGGATTCGGGGAGTTAAAACCTTACCTTTAGCCTCAAGAATGGTGAAAACGGTCAAGAAGTCGCTTGGGTCGTCTCCTTAGCTCTAAAAATCAAAAAGTACCAAATAAGGTTGTTTATGCGTTTATTAACGACTTTAATTCGCATTGAGCCCGCCACAGTGGCCACCACCCGCCAAAAAGGCAAAACCCAGCGCCAAAGCGGCATTCTCGAGACAGAGAGTTTTTTCAAGTATTCCAAAACTTTCATTTCACAACACACCTCTAACCCACGACGCTCAGTAAATACCCTTTACGCTAAGTTTGATTTCGGAAGCTCTACTTGCCAGAATTCAATTTCATAAAGTAGTACGGATTCCTTAACAAGTTATCTAACTACTGATGTAATCAAAATCATAAATAATTCACCCGATTGTTACCAGATTTCCCTACACCTTAATGACTCCAATTTTGTCCAAATCTGGACTAGGTTGGGAAAATCCAAGTTACTACGAAAAAGTTTCTGGCCCCAATTCTTTCTAAATTTGCTTTTCCATAACGACTGAAATTAGGTCATTACAATGGATACCAATTTACCCATCTCTCATCCCCCGAGTGATCAACTAGGAAAGACTGGCTAAAGTAAGGGTAGAGTAGTATGTGAATCGTCGAATTACTGGGGATACTTGTATCACATGCCCTTCTTACCGAATCTCATTACCCTTTAAGGGTTTCACATCTCCAACCTTAAACCAACCAATTGAATACCTACACATCCTCCCTTACAATGCGTCAATAAAGTCATCTCAACCCTCGAGTGATAAATATTGTTGTATGTAAACTTCACTAACAACAAAACGATTCCCAACAACCACCAAAGTTGATTGTACACACCTCTGCCATATGTTATCAAAGATCTTGACATAAACATCAGGACGAATCCTTTATCACATAACCATTATAAAATTCTAAATCAATACTCGCTACAATTAGAGGTGGACCTGAACCAACCAACACACACTCATAATACCCAAACAATCATAGTTCTTAACAATATCTCAATCCCACAACATAAATTCCCATGAGCTTAAGTTATAACAAATTTGATCTTTAGAAATTATATACTCAGTGAGGGATATGCCCAAGCATACAACCCCTCCAACATCACTATCGAAATGTTAGATTTAGTAATTGTAGATTACCTCTTAAGAACAGTAGAATTGGACCCAATGATCCCCACATTCAACCATACATAAACGGTACATGACCTCGACGACTAGAGAAATATAAAGATTGCCAGACAACCACAAATGCGCATGGTAGCTTCTCTATAAATTCTCATAAGGTGGTACATCTAGAACCACTAAAATACTTTAACAACTCTAAGACAACACCAATTATGTCATTCGAAATAACCAAAACTTCCCAATCTTTCTACTCAACCAAGAGAACATCGCAGGATTTGGTACCCCTGATTCACCACTAGGGATCCACCCACAAAAGTGAAAACACACTAGAGCATAGCTAGTGAATCATACTCACAACACTAACAACCATCATAAATACTCCGACCATTAATCTCACTCTAAACCAACACTTTTACATGAAAACCTTTCTTAGGTACTTAACAATCAATAGTAATCAACTTTACGACTCAACCCAGGTGAAAGTCTTTTCAAATGCTCAATACCTGATACAATTGATCATTCTTCACCTTGAAATTCATACCTTGAAAAAAATATAACCACGAATGTAAACTTTTAATGAAAAATTTGGATTGTAAATTCAACTGTATAACACAATCCCCTTAACTATCAACATTAGCTTATACCTCGAAGATTTTTACGAATTCATGGATCTTCGCTTATCATGGATCGCATCTCCATCGATCTTACCATATATTTTGCTAAAATTTCAATCATACTCATTACTAGACTCAAAAACAAAACCAAACACTTGTCATCACACTCCAGCTAATGTCCGCACACTCTTTTCTCAAGTCTTTTTCGATAGTTTTTAACCAATCTGACATACTTGTGACACTATTACCATAGCCACAACAAAACAGATGAAATCACGCATCTCTGAACCCAATTATCTACTCCTCTAAAGATAACTCTTTAGTCTTAAGAATCAAATAAAAATTTCTTACTCTAGCCTCTCTCTAAAGGCTGTACTACATCCCAACATTTTTCTTCATTATGCCTCTAGCTCTTTAATTTCTATTCAAATGGTGTCCTACCACCTGTTAAAACTTTCCAAACAACCACGTTACTCACCAAATATTAGAAAATCACAACCTTAGATACTCGCAAGTCGTAATTACTATAAAAAATTCGCTTAATCAACAATGCCATTATATAATTGCATCCCATTACAATTCATCGCGAACTCTTATTACCATTATGCTCAGTTAGCCCTGACTATCACTATGAAGCCAACATTTCATTAACAAGACACCTCAAACTCAGGTAACTCATCAAATTTAAAGGACCAACCCAATCTTAGTACACACTTTCTTACTAAAATCTTCAATTTCCTTCACTCAGGAATACACATTGGGACTTTCTTTATCCATAAGCTTGTCATTTTGGTATTAATCCACTCCCTTATAGATTAAGATAAAATCATACTATCCTCCTTCTTCTTATCAAACAAGACAGGAGCACCGCACTTGGGAACAGTAGGACGGATGAATCCTTTATCAAGACGCTCTTGGATTTGAGCCTTAAGCTCTCTCAACTCTGACACCCTAGGAATAGACTCAATAAAGGGGATTCGACCTCAGCATCCCGAATATGAACCAATTACGTCAATCAATCCTTCCCCACCAGTTTTTTACCCCGCACGAAAGATATGACCTTAGCTGACTTAGGCTTGTACCTCTTTCCCACTCTAACTTTTCCCTAACGGGGATCTCTAAAGTTACCGACTTAGTACTACAATTACGCCCGGTATAATAGGGGGACAACCAAGTCATGCCTAAGATTATATCAAATTAGTCATATCCAGTATAACCAAATCAACCCAAATCTAATCCATAAACGCAACAGGACAAACACGATATACAAGGATGACTATGACTGACTCTTCAACTAGGGTAGAAACATGGATGAGGGCATCAAGTATATCACAAACCACATCAAATCTCAAGGCAATTAATCTGACACGTACGAATAAGAATAACCCATATCACTCGAAACAATAGCCATATGGGCACAAACAAAAGTAGCACTAGTGACCAATGCATCACACCTAAAACTCGATTTTGCCTAGAAAAACATATAATTGAGCCCTGTCATCTTGACGGGTAACCTTATCGCCTGACTGCACTAATCCTCTACCTGCATTACCATTTCCCCGGCCTCTATGGCCTCGTTGATTTCCTCCTCATATGCCCAGGTTCTCCATAATTTAAACACACCTTATAACCTATATCTAATTGTTGAACACTGAACTAGATCGCGGGTGTTAGTATGGGTACAATTCAAGTTCTAAAATTGTGACTAGGAAAAACAGGAAAGACAGGGCTGAGATTCTGTCCTCCCTGTCCCGCTCTGGCGGAAGAAATTCCGCCCTGGTGGCCTCACCGTGGCGGGAAAAATCCCGCCCCAGCGGCCTCAACGGAAACAAAACCATTGTCAACAATTTTCTAGGTTCTTTTCTTTCCCAATTTCCCCCAAAGGTTCCCAGCTATAACACATGCATTTTTAGAGAAAAACCCTTAGCTAGGACAATCATTGTCTATCCCCGATCAACCCAACGAAGTACGCACTTTAAAATCTATTTACATCGATTCAACACTACCACACACATATCCCCATGATACATCCAAATTCTCACACGGTTATCAGTTGGTTGCAACGCACGTACATATTTATCGCTTACGAACTACATCATAATTTATCTAGACCCTTGCACCTAACCTCGGGATGACTTTCTTTTCACAACAAGTTCCACGATACTCAAGCGATTACAACTGGCACAATTTCAACATTTAGGCCAGCACATTGCACATATCAACATTCAGACAAGCAATACTGGGCATATAATCATATCAAAGCATTCAAGTAATACACCCTTCACATTCATAGTTAATTTTCGACAACTAAAAGCACACATTCATCGTTCCAATTTACAACTCACAGATAAGTTTAATTTCTTTAATTAGTTCGTTCCATAAATGACCATCAGCCATGCCTTATACGGTCCCTAAGGCCAGATACCAATTGAACCTTCTCAGTTTCAATTAACTTGCTTGTGTCCCTTCAGCTAGAACTACAACGTCTATTTCACTTTGTTGAGATACTAATTAGAATCGGGAGATACCAATTGGACTCAACTCATACCACAAGCGACAATAGTAGCTAGCGAGCCCCACAAAATTGCTAATTTCAATCACAAAACTTGGTTGAACCCAATTCTTAACTGCCTCAATCTTTAACTGATGGTAACCAGACCTTAAATCAATCTTAGAGAAAACCGATGCACCTTGCAACTAATAAAAAAGATCCTCCATCCGAGGCAGTGGATACTTGTTCCGAATGGCGACCCTATTCAACTGTCGATAGTCTATACACATCCTCTCTTGCTAGTGATGGTGTTACCATTTTTATTGTTCTAGTTTGGACCATAGAGTGAAGGAAGAAAGATACCAATTTGTATCACCCAAATACCAATTGGATTCAAGTCATAGCACGAAGAAGTAGAAATAAGTGAGTTTTTCTTAAAGTCCTATAGCCTCTCGAAGAAAATTACGGACGACATCGTACCGTTTCGCAAGACTCTACTAGACTCATTTTGGTACAATGAGATCAACGAACCTAGACTCTGATACCAACTTTGTCACGACCCAGATCGTCGTGATTGGCACCCACACTAATAATCCGGTGGGAGAACCACTACTACAACCCAAACCATGCAATCAATCTAAAAACTAAGGCATATAAGTCAAATACTAAGGAAAGAAAATAGAGCTTCCACAAACTCTAACAAAAGTTCAACAATAACTAACAAATGTGGAAGAATTAGCCTAGAACCTGAAATTTAATGTACCAAAACTCTACTAACGACAAGTTTAAGAACAAGGGGTACAACCCCGAAACTAAACAACACCATAAACAAATGTCTGAGTCGGAAAAGAGTGGACTTAAACAAAGAAGATCCATGGCAGCCTGAAAGAACTGACTCACCCTTGAATCCGGTCACGCTCACGGTCACCTAGTTGAGGTCTATTAATAGCCACATGAAGATGCCCTATACTCAACAAAGAAAGAGCAAGTGCAGTATAAGTACACAACCACCATGTACTAGTAGGATGACACGGCTATCCCACTAAGTGTAACATACATTAGTCAATACAACAATATAATCACATGCAAATATCAAACTATACAATATCATTAACATATACGAACAATGAACAACTTCACGATTCTCACATATCACATTTATATCAATTTAGAGCAACATACCGTTTTCCAATATCAATCAGCATTAGATAAGAACGAACTCATCACAAGTAGATACACAACACAATTCAATGGTCCTTTCACGGAACCCAATTTAATGGTCCTCTAATAGAACCCAAACCCAAACAGTTAGCATGCCGGAACATGGCAATTCGATCCCATATTTATGTCGAAACGTGGCAACTGATCCCATATTTATGCCAGAACATGGCAATCGATCTCATAATTATGCTGGAACATGGCAATTCGATCTCATATTAGTATTTGACTTATATGCCTTAGTTTTTAGATTGATTGTTTGGTTTGGGTTGTAGTAGTGGTTCTCCCACCGGATTGTTAGTGTGGGTGTCAATCACAACGATATGGGTCGTGACACCTGCTCATTCAACAAACCACAATCACAATCACAATGTATATTCTCACCATCATACAACAAGAGGTGATTCATGACATACAATTATTCAATTATCCTCAATTACAACAAGTGTGATCAATAATGCAACATTCACATACATATATATATATATCATAATGAAGCAAGAACAAACATGCATCACACAATCATAGAATCACAACCATCACCTACCTCGAATCCAAGCTTGAATTCCCTAAGGCACTTGAATCTTCCCTTTCCGAATTCTTTCTGCTTGTTCTAGGTCTACAAACAACAATTTATATGCAAGGATTAACAATCAAAGGTCTAATTATCCGGATTATAACAAACCCAATAACCCTAGACCAAACCCAAGATCCTAATACCCAATTTAGGGCTTTTTGCACCATCGATAATGACCCACTAGATTACGTTCTACAGATCGAAAAATGGATTCGGGGAGTTAAAACCTTACCTTTAGCCTCAAGAAACATGAATTTATGTAACTTACATCTATTTAAAATATTATTGTTGCATGTTTGATATTTCAGGACTCAAGAAAGATGTCATGACAGAGCTGCCTCCTAAAAAGGAACTCATTTTACGTGGTGAAAAATGGTCAAGAAGTCGCTTGGGTCATCTCCTTAGCTCTAAAAATCGAAAAGTGCCAAATAAGGTTGTTTAGGAGTTTATTAACGACTTTAATTCATGTCGGGCGGCAAAACCCAGTGCCAAAGCGGTATTCTCGAGACAGAGAGTTATTTCAAGAACTCCAAAATTCTCATTTCACAACACACCTCTAACCCACGACGCTCAGTAAATACCCTTTACGCTAAGATCGATTTCGGGAGCTCTACTCACCCGAATTCAATTTCGTAAAGTCGTACGGATTTCTTAACGAGTTATCTAACTACTGATGTAATCAAAATCATTAATGATTCACCCGATTGTTACCAGATTTCCCTACATCTTAATGACTCTGATTTCGTCCAAATCTGGAGTAGGTTGGGAAAATCCAAGTTACTACGAAAAAGTTTCTAGCCCCAATTCTTTCTCAATTGGCTTTTTCATAACAACGGAAATCAGGTCGTTACAGATAATAACCTGCAGGTGAGTCGACTGCCCCATACAGGAAGTCGACTAAAGGAATTTTTAATTCACCCCCCTCCCTCCTTCTTAACTTTCATGGGTCAGATCTCAGGGTCGGATTTTGAACGGTCGTCGAGGTCATGTCCTAGTATGGGTGTTAGGGTCGGATCCTTAATCGATTATCGGGTCAAAAATTATTTTTCTAAGGAGTATTTTCTAGTCTCAAGCCAAAAATAAAAGATTTTTTCTGGAAATGTCTTTCATTCACCAACCAAACATTAAAAACTATTTTCCAGAAAATATTTTCTCTTCATCAACCAAACATGAGAAAATAAGTTAGAAATCCACTTGTTTTTCAAGAAAACATTTTCTAGGAAATTATTTTTCTCGAATAACATTTTGCTTTGTACCAAACACATACTTGGAGAGCTTCTTTTTCTGCTTCTGTCGTCTTATTGACAAGGCTGTCACTATGGTCAATTGGATTGATAGTTATACAAAGTAAGTGACATATTTCTAGTTTTGTATTATTTCAATAATTGGGACTTGGGAGAATAAAGGAATGTCACACCCCAAAACCGGATGTGATGGCACGTGCCCAAACCCCACCGGACACGTAAGCCTAACACCCAAAAACCCGACGATGCGGAATTAATAAAACAAGAATAAGGTAGAACGATAAGCGGAAGTCTTTAAATAAACTCAACATAACCCCAGAATTGGTTGTCACATGTACAAACCTCTAATACAGAATCTGAATAAAATATACAAGTCTCATAGTAAAGTTCTAGAATAGAACAGAACAGTAAATATAGATAACTTGAGGGCACGTCTGGAATGAACCGCTACCTCTCAAGTAAGTCTGGAAGCTCTAATCTGAAGATGAGTAATAAGCCGGATCTGATAGAGCTGTCAACCTACACAACTGTGTAGAAGCAAGGGTGAGTACCAAAAGCAACAGGTACTCGCAAGTAACACTAAACTAAGCTAAACTAGCAGCTACAAACAACTCCTTTCAATCCCAACCGAACCACCGAAACTTCATTCTAACAGCGAACCAACAACCTATACTACACAATTCATAATCAACAGATATATCCAACAGTGTCTCAACATCAACCTCATATCCTCATGTAAGAGCAAATAGATCATATATCACATGAAGAGGGGCAAATAAGAAAAATCCACACACCACAGACAAAGATGAAGTCAAATGCGATGCAAATGCAATAATGATGTCATGTAGTCGTGATGCATGTCTGTCCTAAGATACACATCTGTTGACGTAATCAGACCGCGCTGAATACTCAAATCAGAACCCATGGGGGCCACACATGGACCATGTATCACCGCCGGAACCAGATCCCATCGGCATCCAAATCGCTAGCCGGAGCTAGTCCATCTCATATATCTCTAGCCGAAGCTAGTCTCAACTGTGTCTCATATCCATCCGTCTTCATATCAGTGTCTCAGAACTCATGCAACAGATAGTTCACACTTGGGATGAATAATGAATATGCACATGTCATCAATCACAATCATATCACGATCACATCATAGTATTACACATTATCTGTCTCAATCACAACCATATCACGATCACATCATAGTATTACACATCATCTGTCTCAATCACAACTACATCATAGTATTACACATCGTCTGTCTCAATCACAACCATATCACAACCACATCATAGTATTACACATCATCTGTCTCAACATCAATGTCTGTATCAATCATAGCCTACTCATGCTCTTCTATCCCCTCAATATCAGTTATCACATGACTTATTCAACAAATTCAAGTCACGTATAACACATTTAGCTCGTTTTATTCCCCATCTTTCAATTACAACAATTTCAATCAACAAATAAAACTCATCCTCAATCCCTATTACTCCCCAACACAATTAGAAAAGTAGTCATGTGTAGTCTAAGAGTTTAACAAAGTTTAGAAGTCACTTGCCTCAAAACACTTCAACTAGTAACTCAAATCTGAGTTTTACCCTTCCGAGCACGCTCCAAATCACCACAATCTATTCATAAATGGAATCCCACAATCAATACGAATCTAACAACACCAATATTGTGAAATTTGGAGAAAAGGGTAAAATGGTCAAAAAAAATCTCGTTCCGAAAAATATTCTCGAAATTTGGAAATTTTTAGTGAAAAATATTTCCCAAGAAATTTAGAATCCAATAGTGACAACCGTTTCGAAAAAGGAGTTGAAATGAGTTCACAAACTCAAATTTTCTATTAAATTCGGGTTAGGCAAAAACCCCCAAATTTTACAGTTGAGATCTCAAATTTTGATGTTAAAATCCATAAATAATCGATGGAAATCAAAGATATAAGTTGGAAATAACTTACCCAATGAATTCCTTGCGAAAACCCACTTGAAATCACCTATTTTCGAGCTCTCAAAGTCTAAAAATGGAGAAATGGGTATTTTTCAAGTTGGGGGAATTTAGCTACTGATTTTGGCTTTTAAAAAAAGGAAGAGAAACTGCTGTTGCAGCTAAAATACACAGCAGCTGAAACACAATTATAACACCAAAGTTTAAGTCCCCGTTGGACCCTCGGGATTCGTTCGGAATCTCGTGCACACAAACTAAATATGTACCCCCACTAAATTCGACGTTCCGGACTCAATGGAACCGTCAGAATTTGAATTTGAGGACTCCTTGACCCGAAAATCAATAAGATGCCAAGAAACTAGTTTAACGCCAAAAAAATTCGAAACTCAAACGGAGCGTCTAAAAATTCAACCAAGACTCATTCTAGACTTAGAATCGCCTCCCGAAACCAACGGTACTCTCGAAATTTCAATCTGAGCCTCGGAACCTCATATGTTGACCAAAGTCAACTCTTTATCACAATTTCACAACTTTAGCAACTTAGGACCTCAATTCTTCGTTTCAACTCCAAATTCAACTCCGTAACTTTACACAGACCCGTTTCGACATTCTAAAACTGCCGGAATCGACGGAAATCCGATCCGAGTCCCGAAACTCCAAATAACTCGAAAAAGCACTTTTTAACCAACTTTAACTCATAAAAACTCAACTTCTCAAAAACTCAACTTTTTACCAACTTTTCCTCAAACTAACTTTACAACCACAAAACATGGGACTCGGGGCAACTACCGAAAGGGCAAAATAGTCATTTCCAAAAAAAATTACCAAAATGACCTTTCGGGTCATTACATCATTCACCACTAAAAACCATGTTCGTCCTCGAACATAAAGTAAAAGAAAGTACCTAAAGCCTCGAAAAGCTGGGGATATCGGACCCGCATATCATCCTCGGACTCCCAAGTCGCCTCCCTATCTGATCGATGCCTCCACTGAACCTTCACTGAAACGATGTCCTTGGTCCGGAGCTTGCGAACCCGTCTGTCCAAAATAGCTATAGGCTCCTCCTCAAATGTCAAATTTGGACTCAACTCCACCGACTCAACCGAAATCACGTGAGACTCATCCGGAACATATTTCCGGAGCATAGAAACATGGAAAACTGGATGCACGGCTGTCAAACTAGGTGGCAAGGCTAACTTGTAAGCCACCTCTCCCATCCTCTCCAAAATCTCATATGGGCCAATGAACCTAGGGCTGAGCTTGCCCTTCTTCCCAAATCTCATCACACCCTTCATGGGCGATACCCGAAGCCAAACTCGATCACCCACCATGAACTCTAAGGGTCGAATCCTCCTGTCAGCATAGCTCTTCTGCCTACTCTGGGCAGTCAAGAGCCTACTCTGAATCACACGAACACGCTCCATATCCTCTCTAAGAATATCAGTACCAAGGGAGTCCACCTCCGCTGAATCAAACCATCCAATAGGTGATCTACACCGCCTACCATACAGTGCCTCAAAAGGTGCCATCCCAATGCTAGAATGATAACTGTTGTTGTAGGCGAACTCTGCCAATGGCAAGTGTTGATCCCATCTAGTACCAAAGTCGATCACGCAAGCCCGAAGCATGTCCTCCAACACCTGAATAGTCCTCTCAGACTGACCGTCAGTCTGAGGGTGAAAAGTTGTGCTCATGTCGAGTCTAGTGCCCAAATCATGCTGTAATGCTCTCCAGAAATGAGAAGTGAATACTGAACCCCTGTCAGACACAATGGACACCGGCACTCCGTGTAACCGCACAATCTGACTAATATAAATCTGAGCCAACTTCTCCACTGTATACCTCACTCGGACCGGGATGAAATGAGCAGACTTAGTCAGTCTGTCGACGACCACCCATATAGAATCATAACCACCCACGGTGGTAGGCAATCCAACTACGAAGTCCATAGCAATCCTCTCCCACTTCCAAGTAGGAATGGGCATCCTCTGAGTCACACCACCAGGCTTCTGGTGCTCACACTTGACCTGCTGACATGTCAAGCACCTAGCCACAAACTCTGCAATATCCCTCTTCATCCCACACCACCAATAGTGCTGACTAAGATCATGATACATCTTCGCCGCTCCGGGATGAATAGAATACCTAGAATAATGAGCCTCCTCAAGAATCAATCTGATCAAATCACCAACCTTGGGCACACATATCCGGCCCTCAATTCTCAATACACCCTCGGAGTCAATCTTAGCCTTCTTGGCTTCACCACTCATCACCTTGTCCCGGATGAGACATAACTTCGCATCCTCATACTGATGCTCTCTAATCTGCTCCATCAAAGATGAACGGGCCTCAATGAAGGCAAACACACCTCCACTCTCCTCAGAAACCCGAAATCTCACCATGCTGTCAAATAACCTCTGAACATCCCGAACCAAAGGCCGCCTCTCAACACTAATCGCGGCAAGACTCCCCATACTAGGAGTCTTCCTACTCAAGGCATCGGCCACCACATTGGCCTTCCCGGGGTGATACAAAATGGTCATGTCGTAGTCCTTGAGCAACTCAAGCCACCTACGCTGTCTCAAGTTCAGATCCCGCTGAGTGAATATGTACTGTAGGCTCCTATGATCAGTAAATACCTCGCAATGAACACCATATAGGTAATGTCTCCACAGCTTAAGCACAAATACCACAGCCGCCAACTCCAAATCATGAGTGAGGTAATTCCTCTCGTGTGCCTTCAGCTGTCTAGAGGCATAGGCTACAACCTTACCCTTCTGCATCAAAACACCTCCAAGTCCAACACCCGAAGCGTCACAATAAACAGTAAATCCAACACCCTCCTCTGGCAAAGTCAAGACAGGTGCTGAAGTCAATAGGGATTTGAGCCTTTGGAAGCTCGCCTCACACTCGGGTGACCAATGAAAAGGAACCGTCTGTTGAGTCAATTTGGTCAACGGCGCAGCTATAGTAGAGAATCCCTGAACAAAACGCCGATAGTAACCCGCCAAGCCAACAAAACTCTGAATCTCGGTAGGTGATGTAGGTCTAGTCCAACCCTAAACCGCCTCAATCTTGGCTGGATCAACCCTAACTCCATCCTTAGACACCACGTGCCCTAGGAAAGCCACTGACTCAAGCCAAAACTCACACTTAGACAATTTGGCATACAACTTCTCATCTCTCAACTTCTGTAGCACGGCTCTCAAATGACAAACATGATCCGCCTTGGTCTTGGAATATACCAAGATGTCATCAATAAACACAATCACGAAGGAATCCAAGTATGGGCGAAACACTCCATTCATCAACTCCATGAACGTCGCAGGGGCATTGGTGAGCCCAAATGACATCACCAAAAACTCATAATGACCATATCGTGTGCGAAAAGCTGTCTTCGCCACATCTGAAGGCTTAATCCTCAACTGATGATACCCAGATTTCAAGTCGATCTTAGAGAACAAGGCTGCCCCCTGAAGCTGATCAAACAAGTCATCAATACGGGGAAGGGGATACTTGTTCTTTACCGTTACCTTGTTCAACTGTCTATAGTCAATACACATCCTCATCGACCCATCTTTCTTCTTCACAAATAAGACCGGTGCACCCCAAGGCGACACACTAGGGCGTATGAATCCTTTACTCAATAAGTCCAGAATCTGATCCTTCAACTCCTTCAACTCAGCTGGAGCCATACGATAAGGTGGGATAGATATGGGCTTAGTGCCCGGCTCCAAGTCGATAGAGAAGTCAATATCACGAACAGGAGGAACACCAGGTAGATCCTCGGGAAACACATCAGGGAACTCCTGAACCACCGGAATAGACTCCATGGCCGGTGACTCAGCTCCAACATCCCGAATAAAGGCCAAATAAGATAAACAACCCCGGTCAATCATCCTCTGAGCCCGAATATGAGATATGACCCTGTTGGGATACGAACCACTAGTCCCTCTCCACTCCACTCTAGGAATACCCGGAATAGCCAAGGTGACAATCTTAGCATAACAATCAAGAAGCGCATGATAGGGGGAAAGCCAGTCCATACCCAATATGACATCAAAGTCTAACATATCAAGAAGAATCATATCCACCCAAGTCTCATACCCCGATAAGACAACAAGACAAGATCGATACACTCAATTCACCACTAAGGGTTCACCTACGGGTGTAGAGACTCTAATAGGCACAGACATACGATCACAAGTCAACTCAAGGCCGGAAGCAAAATATGTAGACACATATGAGAATGTAGAACCAGGATCAAATAACACGGAAGCAGGCCGATGACAAACTGAGATGATACCTGTGATAACTGCATCAGAAGCCTCAGCCTCGGGCCTCCCAGGAAAAGCATAACATTGGGCACCTCTGCCCCCACTCTGTGAACCTGAGGCGCCACTAGCACCTCTACCCGAAGCTCGTCCGCCTCTACCAGATGCCGGCCCCCGACCCCGACCTCTAGCTGGAGGTGCTGAATCTCTCTCTGGGACCGCGGAGACAGTATGGTGTGGTCCAAACTGAGTCTGATATGGACACTGACGAATCAAGTGGCCTGGATCACCGCAACCATAACAAGACCTCGGTGTGGATCCTGACTGTGGAGAACCCGAAGTAATGCTATAACCACCTCGACCCGAACCTGGAGGACCCCGAGCTGCTGGCCCACCCTCGATAGCTGGTAATGAAACATGTACTGGCCTCTGACGCAGGAAGGACCCGCCTCCCCTGTGTGGGCCCCTACCTCCTGACGAGGTACCCGAATACTGACCACCTGTACGGACCCTCTTGGGCCCACCAAAATCATCCCGCTCAAGCAACTCAGCCTCTCTGGCTGCACTCACTATAGTCTGGAAGGAAGCACCCTCTCGAGATGATCTAAACACATAACTACGGATAGTGGGAGTCAAACCCCTGACAAATCTGCGAATCCGCTCAGGCTCACCTGAAATCAAAGCAGAGGCATGTCTCGACAACTGACAGAATCGAGCCTCGTAATCTGCGACTGACATGCTGCCCTGCACCAAACTCTCAAACCTCATACGGCTCTCCTCCTGTACACTCCAAGGGATGAAACGACCCTCGAAGGCACTAGCAAACTCACTCCACCCCATGGGAGGAGATCCCGCTGGTCTCGAACTCATGAAGGTCCTCAGCCACTCCCTAGCGACACCGCGTAACTGAAGGGACACAAATCGGACGCCCCTCTCATCTAACATGCGTACCGCCGCCAACATCTCTCGACTCAAGGTCAAAAACTCGTGAGCATCATCAGTCTTAGCACCATGAAACTGAGGTGGTTTCATTTTCTGAAACCGCTCATAGCAGACCTGGTCATCATCTGCCAAGGCCACCTCAAGGGCCGCCGGTACACCTACAACCGATGCTGGAACCTGTGGTGGCTGAACCACCGGCTCTGGAACCACTGGAATCTGATGCTGATAACCAGGGGCCTGTGCCCCTACCCCAGCTGGTAACCCCCCGGTATACCTGCTGCACCCTGAGCAAGACGCTCCAATAACCCCAACATCCTGTCGAGTCTGTCATCATAAACTGGGGGTGCATGGCCCGCAGGAGCCTGCTCTGCAGCTACTCCAATCTGTGGCTCAGGTGAAGGCTCTCTACCTCGGCCTCGGGCAGGTGCCGCTCCTCTGGCACGGCCTCGACCACGTCCTCGGCCTCTAGCCCGACCTCTACCCCTAGCTGGGGCCTCAACTCTGACCTCGGGGGCTGCCTCCCCCCTAACTCTGGTAGCTCTAGCCCTCGGCATCTGCCAAAAACAACACGCGATACTCAGCACCCACGATAACAACCTCGCACGATAAGAACGGAATAAAAAAAAGAAGTTTTTCCTAACAGTCTTCATAGCCTCTCGAAGATAAGTACAGACGTCTCCGTACCGATCCTCAAGACACTACTAAGACTTGGTTTGTACATGTGAGACCTTCGAACCTGGGCTTTGATACCATTTTTGTCACACCCCAAAACCGGATGTGATGGCACGTGCCCAAACCCCACCGGACACGTAAGCCTAACACCCAAAAACCCGACGATGCGGAATTAATAAAACAAGAATAAGGTAGAACGATAAGCGGAAGTCTTTAAATAAACTCAACATAACCCCAGAATTGGTTGTCACATGTACAAACCTCTAATACAGAATCTGAATAAAATATACAAGTCTCATAGTAAAGTTCTAGAATAGAACAGAACAGTAAATATAGATAACTTGAGGGCACGTCTGGAATGAACCGCTACCTCTCAAGTAAGTCTGGAAGCTCTAATCTGAAGATGAGTAATAAGCCGGATCTGATAGAGTTGTCAACCTACACAACTGTGTAGAAGCAAGGGTGAGTACCAAAAGCAACAGGTACTCGCAAGTAACACTAAACTAAGCTAAACTAGCAGCTACAAACAACTCCTTTCAATCCCAACCGAACCACCGAAACTTCATTCTAACAGCGAACCAACAACCTATACTACACAATTCATAATCAACAGATATATCCAACAGTGTCTCAACATCAACCTCATATCCTCATGTAAGAGCAAATAGATCATATATCACATGAAGAGGGGCAAATAAGAAAAATCCACACACCACAGACAAAGATGAAGTCAAATGCGATGCAAATGCAATAATGATGTCATGTAGTCGTGATGCATGTCTGTCCTAAGATACACATCTGTTGACGTAATCAGACCGCGCTGAATACTCAAATCAGAACCCATGGGGGCCACACATGGACCATGTATCACCGCCGGAACCAGATCCCATCGGCATCCAAATCGCTAGCCGGAGCTAGTCCATCTCATATATCTCTAGCCGAAGCTAGTCTCAACTGTGTCTCATATCCATCCGTCTTCATATCAGTGTCTCAGAACTCATGCAACAGATAGTTCACACTTGGGATGAATAATGAATATGCACATGTCATCAATCACAATCATATCACGATCACATCATAGTATTACACATTATCTGTCTCAATCACAACCATATCACGATCACATCATAGTATTACACATCATCTGTCTCAATCACAACTACATCATAGTATTACACATCGTCTGTCTCAATCACAACCATATCACAACCACATCATAGTATTACACATCATCTGTCTCAACATCAATGTCTGTATCAATCATAGCCTACTCATGCTCTTCTATCCCCTCAATATCAGTTATCACATGACTTATTCAACAAATTCAAGTCACGTATAACACATTTAGCTCGTTTTATTCCCCATCTTTCAATTACAACAATTTCAATCAACAAATAAAACTCATCCTCAATCCCTATTACTCCCCAACACAATTAGAAAAGTAGTCATGTGTAGTCTAAGAGTTTAACAAAGTTTAGAAGTCACTTGCCTCAAAACACTTCAACTAGTAACTCAAATCTGAGTTTTACCCTTCCGAGCACGCTCCAAATCACCACAATCTATTCATAAATGGAATCCCACAATCAATATGAATCTAACAACACCAATATTGTGAAATTTGGAGAAAAGGGTAAAATGGTCAAAAAAAATCTCGTTCCGAAAAATATTCTCGAAATTTGGAAATTTTTAGTGAAAAATATTTCCCAAGAAATTTAGAATCCAATAGTGACAACCGTTTCGAAAAAGGAGTTGAAATGAGTTCACAAACTCAAATTTTCTATTAAATTCGGGTTAGGCAAAAACCCCCAAATTTTACAGTTGAGATCTCAAATTTTGATGTTAAAATCCATAAATAATCGATGGAAATCAAAGATATAAGTTGGAAATAACTTACCCAATGAATTCCTTGCGAAAACCCACTTGAAATCACCTATTTTCGAGCTCTCAAAGTCTAAAAATGGAGAAATGGGTATTTTTCAAGTTGGGGGAATTTAGCTACTGATTTTGGCTTTTAAAAAAAGGAAGAGAAACTGCTGTTGCAGCTAAAATACACAGCAGCTGAAACACAATTATAACACCAAAGTTTAAGTCCCCGTTGGACCCTCGGGATTCGTTCGGAATCTCGTGCACACAAACTAAATATGTACCCCCACTAAATTCGACGTTCCGGACTCAATGGAACCGTCAGAATTTGAATTTGAGGACTCCTTGACCCGCAAATCAATAAGATGCCAAGAAACTAGTTTAACGCCAAAAAAATTCGAAACTCAAACGGAGCGTCTAAAAATTCAACCAAGACTCATTCTAGACTTAGAATCGCCTCCCGAAACCAACGGTACTCTCGAAATTTCAATCTGAGCCTCGGAACCTCATATGTTGACCAAAGTCAACTCTTTATCACAATTTCACAACTTTAGCAACTTAGGACCTCAATTCTTCGTTTCAACTCCAAATTCAACTCCGTAACTTTACACAGACCCGTTTCGACATTCTAAAACTGCCGGAATCGACGGAAATCCGATCCGAGTCCCGAAACTCCAAATAACTCGAAAAAGCACTTTTTAACCAACTTTAACTCATAAAAACTCAACTTCTCAAAAACTCAACTTTTTACCAACTTTTCCTCAAACTAACTTTACAACCACAAAACATGGGACTCGGGGCAACTACCGAAAGGGCAAAATAGTCATTTCCAAAAAAAATTACCAAAATGACCTTTCGGGTCATTACAAGGAAGACTCCAAAAAAAGTTAATTTTGCACTCAACTTAGATGAGGGTAGCTTCATTATTAACTTGAATCAGAATTGAATTCAAGGATTCAATCAAACTCTGAAGTGATATAATAATCTTGATATACTATTGCTGATCCAACTCAAAAATATATAATTCAGCTCTAAGTTATGCAAACGAGATCAAATTTTAAGTAGCATATTTTGTGTTCTCACAATGATTAACAATTACAAATATGTATCTAGTTCAAGTAATCTTATGGTTAAACTTATGCTGTAATTTCTCATCAAGTGACCCCTAATCCCCCAGTAATCCTTAAATAGGTTGGAATTAATTTCTTTGTCACTTTACTAAACTTTAATTTGTTTATAAAAACATTACTTGTCGTTCTAATTTGGAGTTAGAAGCTTAAATGGTCATTTAACTTTAAGTAATTGGTCATCGTGCTCAATTTTGTTGTTTTTCAAAAGTCACTCAACTTTGTCACTTAAAGCCCGTTTGGATTGATTTAAAAAAAGTAGTCTTTGAGTCAAAAATAAAAAGTCAAACTTAAATACTTTTAAGTCAAAAAATAACTTAAATGATTTTTAAGTCAAAAAATAAAAAGTAGGGGAGACCTACTTTTGGTTTTTAATTTATTTTAAGTCATTTTAAGTTTATTTTAAGTTATTTTTAATATTGTCAAACACTTCCTAACTTATTTTAAGTCATTTTTTTGACTTATTTTAAATTATTTTTATATTTGTCAAACCCTTTCAGAAGTCAGAAACTGACTTAAAAGTAAGTTTGACCAACTTTTATGTCAATCTAAACACTCTCTTGGTTAGCATTCATGGTCATTATTTCCAGAAATATAACTTTTGATACCTATTTAATGACGTTCATGCAACTGTAAGTTTTTAGAAAAAATATTTTTTAAAATTAAAATCAATATTTAATTATTGGATTCTCAGTCAATTTTTCTAATTATATTTTTGTTCTTTAATTTATTTTTCTTCTTGTTCATTAATCGAATTTAATAAGATATTGTCTTGGGTGTGAGTGTTTTGGATATGTTACGGGATATACTCAAACAGTCACATTCATCAATAAGGTGTTATTAATGTATCTTTTAGATTTTTCTTGAGTAATGTGATTAATGAAGAAAAATTAGCATTTTAAAATAATAATAATAATGAGATATCCATTTTTAAAATTTAAAATAACTACCTTTTTCAAAATTTGCGGAATTAATTTTTAAAAAATTTTAAAAATTGTGAAACCTTAAAACTTCTATAGTATCAAAATGATGATATCAATCAATTATATAAAATACGAATTTGACTATGTAAGTACCCTGATAACATATTTAAAATAGTCATATTCAAAACAACAGCTTATTAATTCAATTAATGAAGAATAATGAGAGAGAGAAAATAAAAATAACGCTAAGATAAAATGCTTTATTGAATTATAGAAAACACGAATTTAACTAATTTAGTGTACCCCGTAACATATCTAAAACGTTCATACCCACAACACCACCCTACTAAATTCGATTAACGAAGAATAACAAGAAAATTAAAAACAAATTAAAGAACAAGAAAATAATATGTAAAAAATTGACTTAGAACACAATAATTAAATATTTGTTTTAATTTTTTAAAGTATTTTTTTCTAAAAGTTTACAGCTTTCCCGTCATTAAATAGATACCAAAAATTACATTTTTGGGAATAATTACCATAAATGTTAACTAACTATCCAAAATTGAGTGACCATCCAAGCTTCTAACTCTTCAATTTTACTTCCTCTGTTCATTTTTACTTGTTACTGTATGACTTGGCACATCCATTAAGATAATAATTATTGAGATATATATTTTACCAAACTTTCCCTATTAAATGGTACCTGTTTAGTATTAGGTCTTAGAAAATGATTTGGAGAATAAATATTTAAAGCTGAGGGTAAAACATGAGAAAAATTAATTGTCTTTTCTTGAAATATCAAAAGTAACAAGTAAAAATGAAAAATCTATCTTAAAAATAAATGACAAGTAAAAATAAACGGAGGAAGTAACTCACATCAATTAAAATTTTCCTTGCCCCTAAAAATAAAGAAAATACAAGTCAAAACCAATAGTGTTGATAATCTTCCCAAGTAGCCTGGTGTGC